TCTTCGACCCATCCCTTCACTAATACCCCAACCATCCGCCAACCTTCCTCTCCCCAATCCAATGAACACATGAGCAGTCATTTGTGGAGGACTCAACACTGGAGTGCCCAGAGGAGCAAATGATACCAGCAGCTGCCTCCTCCCGGACCAATCCCTATCACTAATCTCCCAACACACTCTTACCCTTTCCCTATTCCCCTGGACACACGATACAGGCATTTGTGGAGGACTTGACTCTGGAGTGCCCCGAGGAGCGCATGATGCAGCAGCTGCTGAAGCGCGACCTGCAGCAGGTGCTCGGCACACTCACGCCCCGGGAGAGGGAGGTGATGTGGCACCGCTATGGGCTCGACGACGGGCGTGCCAAGACCCTGGAGGAGCTTGGAGTGATGTTCCGGGTGACCCGGGAAAGGATTCGGCAGATTGAGTCCAAGGCACTGATGAAGCTGAGGCAGCCTGAGAGGGGAGGGGGATTGAAGGGCTATGTGGATGGGTTGGCCGTGTGAGTGTTGCTGGATTGTGGTGAAGGTCAATTGAACTAGGCTCCTCTTTTATTTGTATTTGTAAGCTAGGCTATGTTTGGAAAGTTAAACAAACCATGTGAACCGATGTTAACAATTCTTTATGCTTCTGAAGATGCGTTCTAAAAGGCTGTTCATTTGGTTATTTGCAGTAATGTCATATGGCGTTCATGACAAGTTCTGTATAACCAAACTTACTGTACGCTACTTTCGACTTGTGATCTTGTTATGGGTAGCGAGTCGCAACGTGATGGGCTTGAGTGTGCCCGTCGCGAGTCACCCGCAATTCGGAAGGCCAATCAGAGCGAGCGACGTGACTTTCGCAAAAATCTGGAGGGACACATCACATGGCTATCCAGCAGCCCCGACATCAAACCGATTGCGCGCGACTCGAGCATTCACCGATTCCCCAGGGAAGCTCAATTTCCCCCGAGTGTGTCGGATTGGGGAAATCGATCAGCCAGCCCTACAAAACCCCCCTGCTTTCACGTCATTCTCAAGCTTCAGCAGTACTTCCGTATTCACTTATTTTTTATCATCCCATCAAGCAGACAGAAATGGCTGCCCTCGCTAACGCTGCAGTTGCTCCCTCCACCTTCGTCGGCCAGAGCGCTGAGCTCGCCGCCAAGGTCAACAATGTGGAGGCTCGCGTCTCCATGAGGAAGACGGCCAAGGCCGCCCCCGCCAGCTCCTTCTACGGCCCCGACCGCCCCCAGTTCCTGGGCCCCTTCTCCTCCCCCCCGTCATACCTCAACGGCGAGTATGCCGGTGACTACGGGTGGGACACCGCAGGTCTGTCCGCCGACCCCGAGACGTTCGCCAAGAACCGCGAGCTGGAGGTGATCCACGCCCGCTGGGCTCTTCTCGGCGCCCTGGGCTGCCTGACCCCCGAGCTCCTGGCGAACAACGGCGTTGAGTTCGGCGAGGCTGTGTGGTTCAAGGCCGGTGCCCAGATCTTCTCCGAGGGCGGCCTCGACTACCTCGGCAACCCGAGCCTGATCCACGCCCAGTCCATCCTGGCGATCTGGGCCACCCAGGTGATCCTGATGGGCGCCGTTGAGAGCTACCGCGTGGGTGGCCTCGAGGGCTTCCAGGAGGTGGAGGACCCCCTGTACCCCGGCGGTGCCTTCGACCCCCTGGGTCTGGCTGACGACCCCGACGCTCTCGCGGAGCTGAAGGTGAAGGAGCTGAAGAACGGCCGCCTCGCCATGGTGTCGATGTTCGGATTCTTCGTCCAGGCCATCGTGACCGGCAAGGGTCCCCTTGAGAACCTGTCCGACCACCTGGCTGACCCCACCGTGAACAACGCCTGGGCCTATGCCACCAACTTCACCCCCGGCCAGTAAATGCTTGTGGTTCTGAAAAAATCAAATATAAATAGGAAAATTAATTAAAATACAATTAGCGATTTTCCACAAAACGGATGAGCACCAAGAAACCTCCAGCTGTTGGTCCAATGATGAAAGTCCTGGTAACCGTCATCCATTCTCGGTGGATTGCTGACAGGAGTATGGCCAGTATATCAATCAAGTACATTATACAACTTCGAGAGAACAGGAAATGACGCGGTGTGTTGGAGAAGCAGTGGTTGAGATGAAATTAGCATTCTCCCTACTCCATGGACCGTTCAATCTCCTCCGATGGGGAGGACATGCTCGGGGTGAATGAGAATTAGAAACAGTCGCATGTCCCATGACCCTTGAACATCCGCGCAGGCATTTGTAGAGGACATTGGACTGCCCAGAGGAACGTATGATGCAGCAGCTGCTGAAGCGGGACCTGCAGCAGGTACTGGGCACACTCACACCCCGGGAGAGGGAGTCGGGCGTGCCAAGAGCTTGTAGGAGCTGGGGGTGATATTCCGGTTGACAAAGAGAGAGGATTCGGCAGATTGATTTCAAGGCGCTGTTGAAGCTGAGGCAGCCGCTCAACGGGTATGTGGATGGGTTGGCTATGTGAGTGTTTGGGTTAGGGGTGGCGTGGAGGTCAGGTCAGGCGAACTAGGCTCATCGCCCATTTGTATTTGTGAGAATGCATTTGTGAGCTAGGCTACGCACATAACTCTCCTTGATAATTTCATTCAATGCATTTTCTGAAGCCTACGTTGTAACGAATTTCCTTACAAGGTACCTTTGGTTCTTCAGATTGCGAGTTTGCGGCTAGAGTTCGACAGAATCGTTCCTTCATTGGCACATCTGACCGTGTGGGACGTGAAAATGGTGATCACCACCTACTGCGCGGTTGGGAACCTCACCTCCACGCTACGTTGTGCCAAACGAATAACACCAAACGCTTTGTAAAAGCCGTTTTCGGGATGTCCATGAAATGAGGGAGACTCTCACTTTTTGTACTACTGGAACTTGGCCAGGCCTGGAGAATCATGGATCCGATATGGAGTTACGTTTCACGCAGCTGGGCCCAGTTGGGCCTGTGTGTGTGGAGTATGGGTTGGGCACACAAGCAGCCAACTGGTGGCAGACGCCCACCCTCCACATGGTTTTGCTTGGCTTGTTGTGGGTCAGGAGCACCGACGCGCTACGTACGTCACGAGTCACGACAGCTCACAGGGCCACTGGGTGAACCTGGCTTTCGCACGGTACGGATTCCGTGTCCTTTCTCACCTTCGTTGTCCACGTGTCACCGTTTCACTTCCGCCTCACTTCGTTCGAGCAATTCTCATTCCCCATACCCACCACCTCACCGACTCACCCGTAGATGCAAGGTTCCAGTTTCAACCACCAGCCATCCTCTGGCACTCCATGCTTGCTTCCATATGTATTCGGCATCCGCGCAAGTTGCGGCTCTGGCGAGATGTCGATTAAATATCACTCCTCTTGTACTAGGACCAGTAAGCCACAAGTTCTAGGATCGCGCTCGCCGCGATTCGTCGGACTGTCTCTCTCCTTTCTTGGCTGCTTAGAAAAATGGGAAATCACTAGTGGTCTGGCATTCATCCTTTGGTCCTTCAGTCCTTCAGTTTCTTTGACAGCCAACATCACACACCACGTGAAGTCTTATCTTCCTCACCACTTGACAGACGCTTACTGCAAGTAACACTTCGCATACAACTGCTCGTTGCCTTTCGAAAAATCATTCCTTCTCCATTTATCCAAGAAAGACCGCTCCAGAAGCGTTAACCATGCTTTCCGGCAGCCTGTTGCTGAGCAGCCCTCCCTGCGACGCGGGTCTCAAGGGGCAGGAGGATTCGTCGCCGTGGTTGCCTGACGACATCGATATCGACGCCATCATGTCGTACGACGAGACGAACGACGCTTGCGACCCAAAGCCGTCGCCAGGCGACAATGACGCGCGTGCGGACTGCTTGAGTAGCGGCCGTTGCGACGGGATTCCTGCAAGATCTGCTGACTCGACCGCTAAGGATGAGGTCCCCACCCGTCGCACAGGCGAGCAGATTGCGACATCCGCGCGACACGTTACGACTATTCATCACATTCCCTGCGACGATTTCGCAGAAGAGAGTTGCTGCAGCAGCGGCAGCGTCAGCGGCAGAGACAGCGACAGCGGAGATGGCAGCTTTCGCAGCCTAGGAGTCTGGTGCGCCGACGGCGACAATGATGCGAATCTGCGACGTGAATCTTTGCAACAGCAAGCGACAACTTGTAGCGACGCTGACAGTGCTTGCAGCGGGACATTTTCGAAAGAGCGTGATGTGCTAGGAGCCACCAGCACTTGCGACAGTCGCAGGCGAAAACTTCGCGAGGAATCACCCAGGAGTCGCACGGGGAAGCACCTTGCGCCAGTGTCGAAACCCCTGAAACGCTCGCAAGCGACGGGAGGGAGGCGTTTGCATAACTGCCGCCCGTTACAGGAACTCCCTGCGGCGATCCAAGTGCTAGCGGAGTACGATCTGCTGACTCAACTCGTCATGCTCACCGCCTCGCGAATTGCACGAAGATCGCACACTGGTTCGGTTGACGTGACAGCAACTCCCTTCAGTGATGCCGCTGCTAACATGGCCTTGAATCTGAGGTAGCACCAGAGCGGGCAGCTGCGCTGTAGAGGTACTCGTTGGTTGTAATAAGCACAGACTACCCTATCTGGTTATCCTCCAAGATATAGTTTTTTACTCAATGTATTGCTAAAAATCAGACTACAAACCATACAAATGGGTGAACAGCAGCCATTTACATGTGTATTCATAATACTACAGGCGTGTACAAGTGAATGTCTGAGGGATGTCGATGAATGTCGACCCTCGGATTAATGGTTCCAACCGTTAGGATTCACCGACATCCATCGACATCTAGTTTTTGCAGCACTTTGTACACGCCATAATTACTTGAAAACCGCACAGCACACACAGCACAGCTCCTATACGAGTTAGAAGAGCAACCATCCAGCCACTCAACTCCCCCCAAAAAGCTCCAAGCTACTGTATGTAATTTGGTACCCTGCTTAGCACTGCAGAGAAAACCAACACTTCAGTACAACCAATAGAAAATAGTAATCAAGGTTTCGCTAGCATGCCGCTAGAAAAGGATGGTCAACGAGCCGGGCGGCTGTCGGGCGGCGGGACGGATCCCGGTCCAAACAGGTCGCGACAAAATCAATGAGCTGTGGCGAGGAATCGGGCGGCAGGTCGGGCAGAGCCCTGCTGTGTGCGATGAAGAGCCGCACTTGCTCCTCGTCCGCCACTTGGGCCCATGGTAGCGCTCCCGTTGCCATGTGCACTGCCAGGCAGCCCACCGCCCACATGTCTGCTGCTGCACCCACTGTCTCCTGCTTGGTAGATAGCGTATTGGGGGAACAGACGTCGGACGAAGAATGAGAAAAGAGATGTCGGAACGAGGGGAAGGTGGGAGACCCAAGAGAAGGGGGAGGGCACAAGTGGAAGGCGAAGAGAGAGGTTGAAAGGCGGCAGGAAGAGACACAGCGTTTCGAGTAGAGGGAAACACGGGTAACGAATGGTGGGAGGAAGAACAGGCAGTGCACGGGTAACAAGATGGGCAATAGCGGCACAGCCAGTGCACAGCAGAACATTAATACCCTCACCTTTCTGATCTCTTCAGGGGAACACCAGGGCACCTTGCTTCCTCCCCTCCCCTCCCCTCCCTCCTCTCCCTCCTCCTTTCCCCCATCTCTATCCTCCCCTCCATCCCCTCCCTCCCTTTCTCCATCCAGGAACGAGGTCCCAGCGAGCTTCACGACGCCATCATCGGGAACGAAAACGCTGCTGGTGCGCACACGGCCGTGGGGGATGCCCAGGGAGTGGAACGCTGTTAGTGCCTCCACCACCTGATGGGGGTGGACAGAGGGAGAGAGTATGGATGGGACGTCACTTCTCAGTCGACTGAATATCCATCGTGGGGAACGAAAACGCTGCTGGTGCACACACGGCCGTGGGGGATGCCCAGGGAGTGGAACGCTGTTAGTGCCTCCACCACCTGGCACGGGCAGAAGGCGAGGGTCTCTTCAGGAATAGGGCCGCACTCGGTGAGCTGGTGGGACAGTCAAACGCAGCAAACAGCAAATTCAGGCACTTAACACGTGCTTAGTGCTCAGGGCTCACCTGGCGAAGGCAGAAGGCGAGGGTCTCTTCCGGCATGGGGCCGCACTCTGTGAGCTGGTGGGAGAGCGACGGCACGGGCACATAGTCAAACGCCGCAAACAGCAGGTGAATGCCGCCCCCGCTGCTGGTGCCGGCACCGTTGGCGCCGCCACCCGCCGCTGCCGCCGATGCTGCTGCTGTTGTTGTGGTGGCTGGCGCTTGCGTTGGTGCTGCCAGTGGCGGGGGAGGGGGCGGTGGTACGAATGGCGCCAACGCATGGCACAATGTTCTCATGCCTGGGGGGGAGGGGTGACAAGGGAGCAGGAGCATGGGAGGGCAGGGCATGGGAGGGAGATATAAGGTGCCAGTGGCGGGGGAGGGGGCGGTGGTGCGGATGGCGCCAACGCATGGCACGATGTTCTCATGCCTTTTGAGAATTCTCAGAAAACACGATGTTCTCATGCCTGGGGAAGGGGCGCCAGGAGGATGGGGCAAACAGGGGTCAAGGTAAGGAACGGACAAAGGAGGGAGGAAACAGCACAGTGCATTTGGACTTCTAAGAAAATTCGGAACTGGTGGGAAAATGCGCTCGGGCAAATGCGCTCTCACTTGAGCTTAAACACGTCCCAAAATTCTAGAGAAATTCCCTCTCCAAAATTCCCTCTCCCTCTAACCGAACACTCACTTGAGCTTCAGCAGTAATGCGACCCGCTGGTGCATCCGCCGCTCTCTCTCCGACTGCCCTGACTGGCCCCCCACGCCCCTCTCCCCTTGCACCCCTCCCTCCCCTGCGCCCCCGCCCCTCTCCCCCACATGCACTCGCTGCACCACCAGCTGCTGCCCCGTCCCCCGGTCAACCACCAGCCTCAGCCGCCCTCCAAGCCGGGACACTAACTGCCACCGCCGAGGCAGGTAGTCCTGGAGTAGGCGCTGCCTGCTGCTGCTACTGCTGGGGACGGTGGGACTGGGGAGGGTGGGAGTGGGGGCGGTGGGAGTGGGAGCGGTGGGAACGGGGGCAGTGGGAGCAGGGGAGGAGGCAGTGGGAGCGGTGGGAGTGGCGGGCCTGGGACTGGCGGCGGGAGCAGTAGGGATGGTGGGAGTAGAGGGTCTGGAACTGGAGGAGTTGGGTGCGGTAGCACTGGGTATGGGGGTGGCTGGGTTGGCAGCAGCAGAGGGTTTGATGGTACTGGCAGGAGCAGCAGCTGCTGCTGCCGGTGCAGCTGTACTTGCAGCAGCAGCAGAAGCAGCAGTGGGGCTGGGGAGGGGAGAGGAAGCAGCAGAGGCGAAGGAGTGTGAGGGAAGAGGAGGGGGCGTGAATCTCTGCCTCCTGGCCGCACCAGTAGCTCCTGCAACCCCCCCTGTCGCACCCCCCCCTGTTACGACTTTCCCTGTTGCACCTCCTGCTGTGGCACCTCTCCCTGCTGCACCCACTCCTCCTGCTCCTGCTGCTCCTCCTGCTTTTGCCCCTATCCCTCCTCCTCCTCCTCCTCCTCCTCCTCCTCCTCCTCCTATTCCTCCTCCTCCTCCTCCTCCTCCTCCTCCTCCTCCTCCTCCTCCTCCTCCTCCTCCTCCTCCTCCTCCTCCTCCTCCTCCTCCTCCTCCTCCTCCTCCTCCTCCTCCTCCTCCTCCTCCTCCTCCTGCTGCCATCCCCCCCATCACCAGGGACCCAAACCCTCGGGGAACTCTAGGGGAACCCCCAGGCATGGGCGACCCCAAGCCAGGCCTGGGGCTGCTTCCCAAGCCTTGGCCCGAGCCTGGCGCCGAACCAAATGCCGGGCCGTGGTTGCCCGAGCCTGAAACCGAGGCTGCTTTGATCGTCCCAACCGAATGCCCAGAGCTCCTGGACGCGTCCAGGCTCAGCTGGTTCACCTGCCCATTCCGCCTCATATTCTGGTTCGGGGCTTGGTTCGGCGTGCCCGAGCCTGGCGCGGTGTGCCACCCGAAGCTACCATCCTCGTTCCCAACCGAGTGGGCGGAACGGGTGGAAGACACAGGAAGGTCGGACGATCCAGGGGGGGAGGGGGGTTCTATGTACATCTCGTTGTCACCCGTGTTACCAGTGTCTCCTGTGTTACCAGTGTTACCACTCTTAACAGTGTTATCAGTGTTTCTATTGTTGGCAGCATGGGAGACAGGCAGGGGGCGTGGTTGAGAAGGGAAGGGCTGCCGTGTTGGGGTGTTGAGAGGGCTACGAGAAGGGGAGCGGGGAGGAACGTTCGGGACAGGGACGTTTGGAGGAGAGAGGTTCGGAGGAAGGTTCGTAGGTGATAGGTTGGGGGGACGGAGGTTGGGAGAAGCACGCCTGGTGGGAGGTGGCGAAGGGCGGGGGGCAGAAGAGGCGAGGGGGGAAGGGGGAGTGGATAGAGCATTGGGGATGCCAGGAGCAGGAGGGGTGGGTGGGCGTGAAACTGGGGGTGTTTTTTGAGACGTCTCAAATGCGGTGGGGATGGAAGGAGCAGCAGGAGGGGTGAGAGGGCGTGAGAGTGGGGGAGTGCGGGAACGGTTGTGGGGGGGGGCGGGGGAGACATGTCAAAACGAGACTGTGTGTGGGGACGAGGAGGAGTGGGAAGGGGAGAGGGGGGACGAGGGATTTGCTGAGTCGACTTGAACTGAGGAAGGGGAGAGGGGTGAGGCGAGGGAAAGGGCGAGCGGTGAGGGGAGGGAAGGGGAGAGCGGTGAGGGGAGGGAAGGGGAGAGCGGTGAGGGGAGGGAAGGGGAGAGCGGTGAGGGGAGGGAAGGGGAGAGCGGTGAGGGGAGGGAAGGGGAGAGCGGTGAGGGGAGGGAAGGGGAGAGCGGTGAGGGGAGGGAATGGGAGAATTTGGAGTGGGAGATGGGGAGGAGAGGGGCGGGCATGTGGGCGAAGGAGCTTTTTGCTGCAGGTGGGATGGAAGGGAAGGACGCTGCTGCTGCTGCTGCTGCTGCTGCTGCTGTTGCTGCTGCTGCTGCTGCTGCTGCTGCTGCTGCTGCTGCTGCTGCTGCTGCTGCTGCTGCTGCTGCTGCTGCTGCTGCTGCTGCTGTTGCTGCTGCTGCTGCTGCTGCTGCTGCTGCTGCTGCTGCTGCTGTTGCTGCTGCTGCCGCCCACTTAAGTAATCCCTTGGGCTTCGCATGCTGTATTGCCCTGTCTCCACCCCATCACCCCTTCCCTCATCACCCCCGCCCGCATCACCCCTTCCCTCATCATCCCCTCCCCCGTCATCCCCTCCCCCGTCACCCTCTCCCCCATTGCCAGAGTAAACCCGCCCCACTCCTCTAGAACCTAAAGGCATGCTCCCAGAATGCACGACCAGCTGCATCCCCTGCCAACCCTCTGCCCCCTCACCTTCCTCTCCCTGCCAACCTGCTGCCTCCTCACACTCTCCTCCCTGCCCCCCTTCCTGCCTCCCTCCCTGCACCCCTCTCCTCCTCTCTCCCTCTCCCTCCTCTCCCTCTCTCTCCTCCTCTTCCTCCTCCTCTTCCTCCTCCTTTCCCCCCTCCCTCTCCCCTCCAGCACCAGCACCTACCGCACCACCCCGTTCCCCACCCATCCTCACCCCTCTCAGCCCCTCGCCCAAAGCAGCTGCAGCGGCAGGAGGGGCAACACTCCCCGCATTCCCCTCTAAACCTTTCCCTTGCGCCGACTGGAATCCCTGAGACGCCTGGAAAGCTTGAAAAGCTTGGAAGGACTTGAAAGCATCGGCGCCACTCCCTGTATTGCCGTCAGAAGCATTGTTTTGGGATGACTGACACGCCTGCATAGACTGAAAACCATTCGGGCCCTGAACGCCACTGCCCGTATTGCCGCCGTCTGAAGCATTTCTTTGAGACTGAAAAGACTGAAACGCCTGGAAAGCCTGGGGAGAGTGGAGAGGCGGAAAAGGTTCCGGCCCACTGCCCGCATTCTTCTGAGATGCCTCAAAAGCTGCCCGAAAAGCATCAAAATCACTGCCCGCGTTTCCCCCGTGAGAGGCACTGAAATGCTGAGAGCTGGTGGGAGGGTTACCGTTAATAGAGCTGGTGGGGGGGTTACCGAGCATAGAACTAGTAGGAGGATTGCCGTTGAGGGAACTACTAGGGGGATTGCCAAGCAGGGAGCTCCCAGGGGGGTTAAATGGGGAGGACGGGTGGAAGGGGGAGGATGGATGGAAAGGGGAGGAGGGGCGCAGAGGCGAACCGGAAAAGGAAGAGTTGTTGAAGGAAGAGGCATTGAAGGAAGAAGCATTGAAGGACGAAGCGTTCAATGAAGAGGCGTTGAATCCCGAGAGGGCCAGGGCAGCTGGGTTGGTGGCAGATAATGCGTGCAGTGCAGAGGGGTTCAGAGCAGCGAGGTTCAGTGCAGAGGGGTTGAGAGCGGTGGAGTTGAGAGGATTGGCCTGGCTAAGCAACGAGCCTAAGGAGCCCTGGAAGCTCATGGGAGGAGGACTCATCCCGCCTCGCAGACCGTTCAGTTGCCCGTTCATCTGCCCGTTCAACTGCCCGTTCAGCTGCCCCAACCCCATCAAATTACACATGGGCGCACCCATTCCCCGAGCCTGAGCCAGCAGGGAGGCTTGGGAAGCTGCGAGCATCTGTGCCTGTGCTGCCGCCTGCACCCGAGCCTGCACCACCCGAGCCTGCTGCATCTGAGCCTGAGCCATAGCCTGGGCCCGAACCTGCACCTCAGCTTGTACCCGAACCTGCGCCTGTGCCATCTGCTGCAAAACGCTCGTCTCTTGTATAAGCCTCCGAACCTCAGCCTCCTTTTTCCTTAGTCTCTCCTCCTCCCTCTCCGAAACCTCCCTGCTATCCCCCTCGTTTTCATCATCCTCATCCTCCTCGTCCTCTTCCTCCTCCTCCCTTCTCCTTCTCCTCCTTTTCTTCCTCCTCCCTTCTAGCCTACTTGATAACCTATTTACTGAGCTCCCTCCCTCACTCTCGCTCTCACTCTCACTCTCCCAACTCCTGCCTCTGCTCCGGGATAAGTCCCTAGTCCATCCATCCTCCTCGTCCTCCTCCCTTTCCTCCTCTCCATTCTCCTCGCTACCCCCATCATCATTATCACCACCACCACCCACATCATCCCCTCTTCTCCTCTCACCCTCACTCACACCCCTCGCCTCCTCCCTTCCTCTCCCACCCACATCACGCCTCTCTTCTCTCTCACTACCCTCCAAACGGCACTCCTCCCTCTGACCACTTCTCTTGCCAGACCCCCCATTCCCCTCCTGCCCACTTCCCCTCGCACCCTGCCCCTGCCCCTGCCTCCCCTGTTGCTGCAGCAGCAGCTGCTGCTGGTACTGCTGGTACTTCTGCAGCAGAGCCATCTGCGGGGACACCTGTGCACTCATCAGCACCGCACTCGACCCTGCAGCACCCATAGCACCGCACCCCAGCATCCCCGCTGCAGTTGCAGCAACCCCAGCACCAGTTCCCGCAAGCCCCAGGGCCCCAGACGCCATCCCTGCGGCAGCACCAGCTAAACACCCTCCAGCCGCCGCCGTGCCAGGGGCACCGCAGAAAAACCCCCCTCCAGCCGGGGAGACCCCTAAAGAAGCCCCTCCAACAGGCAGAGAGACGGAGTTGCTCTGTTGGGACTCTGCCTGTAGGCCTACTAATGCCCTGAGATGCATTGACGGCCCTGAGAGAGGGTGGAAGAGAGGGATGGAGAGAGTGGGCGGGGCTAGAAGCTGGTTCGGGAGGAACTGGTTCGGGAGGAGCTGGTTCGGCAGGAACTGGTTCGGAAGAAGGGGGTTCGGGAGGGCCTGATTGGGAAAGGCAGGGGAAGCTAAGGACTGGAAGGGAGAGGTGCTGAAGAAGTGAGGGGGAGGGGAGGGAGAGGTGGGGTTCACGCCAGTAAGATTCAAACCAGTTGGGTTCACGCTAGTGGGATTTATACTGGTGGGAAGACCTGGCAACTGAGTGCCAGGCGCAGGGGCATTTGGAGTGGCAGCAATGGCAGCAGAGACAGCAGAAACGGCTGGGGCATCGGAAAGGCCTTGAGGGCAGGGCGATGCGAAGGAGGGGAAGGTATTGCTGGTTTGGAGAGGTGCTGAGAAGGGATTTGGCAAGGTGGAAAAGGGGTTGGATGGAGGGGTGGGGGAACGCTGCTGCTGCTGCTGCTGCTGCTCCTGCTGCGATTGCAGCTGTTGCTCCTGCTGCTGCTGGCGCTGCTGTTCCTGCTGATGGCCATTCCTCATTTCCTCTTCCAGCCTCTGCATCCTCAACAGCACCTCCTCCTCACTCTCCCTCTCCCTCTCACTCTCCCTATCATTCGCCCTCTCACTCGCCCTCCCCCTCTCACTACTCCTCCCCCTCTCACTACCCTCTGCTTCTTCCCTCCTCATCCCCTGCCGTTTTCCCTTCCCGCCCACGCCCCACCCCGTCTCCCTCACGCTCCCTCTGCTCCCCTCCTTATAGTCACATCCATCATAACCACTTTCCCTCATCCCCACCATACCACCCCCCTCACTCCCCATTCGGCTACCCCCTCCCCTCCCTCCTGCCTGGGCATATGCGTTATAATCCCTACCATCGCCCTCTCCGCTATAAGCAGCGGGAGGGGTGGCGCGCGCGGGGAACTTAGGGGGCCTGCTATTGGCGGACGGGGGGCGCGCGCCACTGGGGCTAGACTGGCGGCGGCGGGTGATGCGCTCAAATAGCGCCAGGGGACGGGGGGAGGGGGAAGCGCTGCTAGGGGCGGCAGAGGGGGCGGGGGAGATAGAGGGGGACGGCATGCGGGGGATGGGTGAGGTGGTCCGGAGCGCGGGGGACGTGTGGGGGAGGGGTGAGCGCGGGGCAGAGGAGTGGGGAGAGCGGGGGGCGGAGGAAAGCGGGGAGCGGGGGGCGGAGGAGTGGGGGGAGCGAGGGGCGGAAGAATGGGAAGCAGAGGTGGTGCGTCGAGTGACGAGTTCAGGAGACTTGGAGGGGCGTCGCTGGTGGGTGGGTAGAGGTGGACGGCCGAACGCGTCCCTGTGCTGCCCCCCTCTGCTGTCGCCGCGGCTCATCCCGCTCGTCCTGCTCCTCTTCGCCCCGCCCGTCCTCCTGTCCCACTTGCGAGTGCTGCTGCTGCTGCTGCTGTTGCTGGCCCATGAAGCTTTGAAAGGCCAGAAACGCGTGTATCGACTCAGGAAAGACAGGAGGAACCGCGAACGAGCCCTGCTGCCCTCCTTCCTGCTGCTGCTGCTGCTGTTGGGTCATGAAAGCCTGGAAAGCCATAAAGGCTTGCATCGTTTCAGGCGTGTAGAGTGGCGACTGCTGCTGCTGCTGCTGAGGGTCGCCGCTGTTTTGGCTCTCGCCATTTTTCCTCCTCTTGACAGAAACATGCTTTGGCTGGGCCCAATGCTCTCTCCCACTCCTCCCGCTCCTCCCACTCCTCCCGCTCCTCCCGCTCCTCCCACTCTTTCCACTGCGCCCGCTCCACCCGCTCCTCTCACTCCTCCCTCCAGGCGACATGCTCCTCTTTCTCCCCCCCTGCACGCCATACTCCCTCGGGCTTCTACCCATGCCCACCGCCCCACCTGCAACACCCATCGCCTCCGCCTCCGCCTCCGGCATAAAGTCTATGCCAAGACGACCAAGTCGACCCACCCCCGGCACATCCTCCTCCAAACAGGCGGCCCCACCCCCCATGCGACCCAGATTATCCATACCCGCCGCCCCCGCCGCTGCCGCTGCCGCCGCCGCCGCCGCTGCTGCCGCTGCCGCTTCTCTGCGTCCTCTCACGTCCCTCACTCTCCCCCTCTCTCCGGCGCTCAAATCCTCCGAATCTATAGACTTGCGCGATGGTCGTTTCCCCCACCTGTCGTTTCTCGCCTCCATCTCCTCGCCGTACGCCTCCATGCCTGAGCCTGACGGGCCTGCAGTAACCGGGTTACCACACCAAGCCTGTCGTTTACCCCAGCGATCCTCCTCGCCAAACGCAGCTTCCGTTTGCTCCATCGTTCTCCCCTCCTGCTCCCGCTGCTCCTGCTGCTGCTCCTGCCGGCGCAACTGCTTCTGCTGTGCCTGCTGCCGCACCCGCTGATGCTCGTACTCACGCTCAGAACCCCACGCTCCGCTGTTCCCCCCTTCCTCCCATCCCATCCGCTCGCCACCCACCCCGGCCTCTGCCTCTGCCTCAACCTCCGCGTCAAAATCACGGCCTGCTGCTCCCCAAGCAGTACCGATCTGAACCTTGATCTTCTCCGTTCCTGCCGTTCCTGCCCTTCCGAAAACAAACTTCCCTCTGCTGCTTCCTCCGCCTCCTGCCGCCGCTGCCGCCTCTCGGCCGATATTCCCCCGCCCAATCGCCGGCTCGCGGTCTCTCGGCCGGGCGAATAGCGCGCGTTCCCCGTCCGCCGAATTCTCCCGTCCGCGCCCGCGCGGCAACCGTGCTTCCGCCCTCTCCTCCTCCCCCCCGCGCAAAAACAGCCTCTTCCCACTCGTTCCCGCTCGAGCGTCCGGTGAATGCGCCACTCCGCGGAGAAATCCCCCGCTCGTCCGCGCCCGCGCCCTCCAACCCCGCGCGTTTCCCCCTCTCAGGGAAACGCGACAGCGCGGGGGGCAAGTCGGAGGGAAACGGCGACGGCAGATCAGAGGGAAGGGCACCAAAACCGGAGGAGGAGGAGGGGAGGGACGCGAAGACGGACGAACGAGCACCCAACACACCTCTAGGGCATCCGTAGGACGGCGCGGGTCTCCTTTCACCAGCCATAGCAGCGCCAAACGCGGCGGGTCCGTCGCCGTCCATCCCTCCGGGCATAACTCCTTGTACTGAACCCAACGGGCTGCCCTCGTCCCCGTTAAAAGCACCTCCGCTGCCGTCACACACCCCATCCGGAAGAACAGGCGGCGAGCGCGATTTTTCGAGTCCGTTAACCCACGTCCCGTTTCGTTGCGGTTTGACCGTCGGCGAAAACTGGAACTGCACCGTCAACCGCCGTCAAGTTCCGCTGCTCCGTCCCGCGCCGGCCTTCAGCGCGGGGGGGAAGTTCCCCCCACCAGTTTCCGCGCCCCTTGCGCCGCCGCCAGCTTTCGCGTAGCCTCCCCCGACGGCCCCCTCGCAAACCCCGTCAACTCTAACGGAAAGGCCGCGCAAGGGCTGCCGGTCAGACTTTACTGGTAAGTTCGAACCCGAGCGCGGATCCACCCCGCTCGCGCGGGCCGTCCTCCGCAATCACGCGCTGGTTTCCCCGCCTTGCGTCCCCGCTGCCGCTCCCACCCACGTCGGCGCGCTCGCTTCGCCCCTGAAATTGCGACGTGTCACGCCCTTGCGGCGGAAAGCGGACCTCCTGTGAGCCCCACGGCCGATGCGAGCTCTCCCCCCTCCTTTCCCCTTGCAAAGCAGCTCGATCCCAGTTACCTCGAGACGCTCCTTCCTCTCCCTCCCCCTGTTCCTCCGCCGATCTTTGCGACACCCTCCCGCCGTATTCTTCCCCCGCGGCCCCCCTGTCATTCACCCATCGTTGCCCTTCCGCCAATGGGCAGCCCGCATCCCCTTCCCCCCCGTCGTCCTCAACCGAACGCGATAGCGTCTCAACCACGTGACGGGCGAACCTCGTATTCGGGCTTACAACGGGACGGGAGCCCTCGCTTGAGTCCCCATCGTTAGAAAAACGCGGTAGAAACGAAGTCTCTTCCGCTAAAACGAGCGCTTGCGACGTCGAGGCGTTGGCGAAACGTTGTCGATACTCGTGCTCTGAGTACGGTAACCCTCCTCGCTCCGCGTATCGTAATCCTTCGCCTCTCTGCCTATCGTATTCCCTTACGTACTCCATGCCTGTTTCTGCAGCTAACTCTACAGTACAATCGTACGCGTTACTAGGTTGATTCTCGTTTCGACTAACGTCCGCTCTACTGTACACAAAACGTCTCGAGCCTCCAGGAACACCTCCGCTATTCACACGAGCGCGCTGCGCCGTCGGATCTGCAAAATCGACGGTCCGGCTTTCCGCAAACTTGTTCTGCTCCGTTCCAGGTCGCGGTGCTACGAGTTGCTCAAACGAAGATGGCAAATTTTGATGCAACGAGGCGGCTCGACTTGCTATCGCGTGTCTTGTTGTCGCGTTTATGGGAGTGACGTAGCTCCCGTCCAAAGAGGTCGGATGGCTTTCAGCTAATTCTCTTGCGTCGGGTAACGCACTCGAAAAGCCGGGATTGCGGGATACAAACGGGGACGGAGTGTAGCGACGGGATACTTGCATGGGAGGCGGTGACCGGGCAAGCGATGAGGTCATGACGACGCCATCCATCAATCGGATCCGATTACAGATCGAACCCGAAAGAATCCGTGTCGCGTGCTCGACCTAATTATGAACATAAGCTTGATAAAAAAAGGCTTGCGAAGACGGGCCTTCGATATCGTAATTCGTGAACGACGGCAGGTTACAGGCTCCGCAAAGACCGTTGGTGAAAGAACTAGTATCTTGTATGAAACGACGTCGTAAGCGGGCAAACGTTTCAGCAGTTTAATTGTCGAAAGTACGGAATGTCCTGACAGCCGAAGCTCAAGTATGCACACGGTACACAGAAACAGGCGTTCACAAGATAACCCTAGCAAATAAGCCTCCCAGAACAAGCACGCAGAGGTTTCAGTAGTCGGTCTCTCCTTGCCGCTCTCGCAGCCTTCAGTGGAATGGAGGAGATAACAGAGATGCACGTGAGGAGTGTGGTTGAATGAAGCTGCTGTGTGAGGCGTGAGGGTGAGGGGGAGCAACTGGCTCGAGTGTGAGGGATGTGTGGGATGGGAGCCTGGGAGGTAAAAGGCGGTCTGTTTCTGTTGTGGCAGTGTGGCGCAACGGAGCTTGTTGGGGGAAGACAAGGTTGGGGGGAAGGGGAAGCTTGTTGGGACAGAGTTGCGCACGGAAGCCCAGCGCTGGTCGGCACTGTTTGTTTTTTCCCGTCCGCGCTGCTCCAACAAACCCCAAGGCTGAGATATTCCCCCACCGCCACTGGCAGAGCGAAGAGCAGCGGAGAATCCTTCCCTTGCCTGCGTAGCCTGGGTGGCTGCCAGTCTGCCGCCAAACCGCCGAGAGGTGACGAAAGGCGCTGCCTACTTCCGCGGAAACTGTCAGCAGAGGAGCAGCGCGACAAGCTCAATGCCAAGTGCACGAAATGGCTCAAGGGGATAGATTGGTTGGCGGGAATGCTTTGCGTGTGGACACGGTGACTGTTCTGAAGGATTTGGTTTCATCCCTGCTGCCCGAAATTGTTGCTTTTTTAACAAAAGCGCCAGTCTCTCCAGACTGGCCAGTGACGACCCTAGATTTTGCCTTGCTTCAGCTGCCCCGATTGCACCTCTGGTCAACGTGTGCCAGGTCATTAAGGAAAATCCGATTTTCTGCAACCTTGCCACCGCGAGTCACGTGACACAAGTGATAATTACCGTCGATGGAAGTAGGCTTTCTGGTTTGAACGGTGAGATCAACCTAGAAGTAACGACTTTTTGGCTGATTGTCAATCGCTATCGGCCATGTATCGAGCGGCGCGTCTGAGCGATTGTGTGCGAGTGGCTAGCGTGTGAATCTAAATCGAAATATCTTTAAAAAAAGCGTCAGCAAGCGGAACAATTTTGACAGCGTGGATTGCCCAGCGCTGAGCACTTTTCCGGATTTCAAGTAAAAAAGGCATATCTCGGATACGTCCGCGTGGTCCTGAAACATGCACGTGGACTTGAACAGTAAGAACTGCCAGTGCTCAATAACAGTATATATACACCAAGAACTTTACAATGCTAGTTATTCCCACACCACATACTGTATTATATACCTACAGTAAAACGCTTCAACTTGCCTTCAAACCACTCTTCCTTGGAAACCCAAAACGCCTCATCCCACTCCATGTCCTCCCTGGTATGAGATTTATACACACCTATTCAGCTTGGTACAATGTATTATGCTTTATGGGAATGTTCAATTATGGGTTAACTGTAGTAGTCAATGAGCTGGGACGACTATCATGATGGTCACGTCCCCAGCATCCCAGTGGTGTGCCTGCACCCAGAAAGACACAGGAGAAACAAATAGTCGGACAAGCAGACAGATAAAATCCATGACTAGGCGGATGGGGCTGACTAAGAAGAAGAAGCCATAAATCCATCAAAGCACACAACGGATGAAGTGAACCCACGCCATCAATGCTTTGAATCATGAAGGGCACCGATACGGTAGGTGAGCCTTGCAGGGCACTAGGCACAGGCAACGTAGGGGGGATCCCTTCGACGACGTTATACCGGCTAAAATATCCATTGTCACGTGTGAAATCGGAAGTGCATCACATCTCATATTTCAAAAGAATGTCAATACTCCCACAAACGGAGAATGTTGATCGCAGAATGTCAAACTCACCTGGGGCTCGTGTGAGGCAACCAGCACGCGAGGCAGTGCAGGGAAAACGTGGAGCAGCGCAGGGAAAGACGGAGCGCGGCCACCCCATGGAGTGGGCGGCACTGGCTCGTGCGCGTCCACATCTGCATGCTGCCGTCCGCTGCTATGGCGCCCCATGCAACTTCCTCGAGGTATGAGCGCTCCTGTAGTGGTGTGCAGAGACACGTGTGATGTGAATGGTGTTACGCACATAAGCTTTGAAGTCTGAAACCCCATTGTGCTAGGTGCATGGTGGCTACCCCAGTGGTGTGGTAGGGAAGGTGCTTCAATGCACCAACTTTTTATTGTGCATTTTGTGGTAAGACACATGCCACAAAGTGACTGTTGTGTCAACTCAAAAGCCAT